GATTTGAGAGTTAGACTAGAGAAGGCTGAGCCCTGAAGAATTGGTACACTGAAACATGTATGATGTTTCAAACTGTGGTGCTGCAGAAGACTCTTAGAGTCCCTTGGACAGCAAGAAGATCCAACCAGTCAATCCTAAAGGAGGTCAACTCTGAATATTCATTGGAAGGACTGATGTTGAAGCTGAAGCCCCAATACTTTGGCCACCTGATATGAAGAGCTGACTCATCAGAAAAGACCCTGATGCTGGGAGGGATTGGGGACAGGAGGAGAAGGGGACAACAGAGGATGAGATGGCTGGATGGCATCACCAACTCGATGGACATGAGTTTGAGTAAACTCCAGGAGTTGGTGATGGACAGGGAGGCCTGGCGTTCTGTGATTCATGGGGTCACAAAAAGGACATGACTGAGCAACTGAACTGGACTGAACATAATAAATAATTTACACAATGTTTTTCAAATATCTGTCTGCCTTGCCCCAAACACACACACACACACACACACACACACACACACACACTAGAATTTAAACTCCAGGAGTTGGGAATTGTTATCTATGTCATTCACAGCTGTTTCCCCAGCACCTAGAGCAGTCTTTGGCACATAGTTGATATTCAGTAAATGAGAAATGAAAGAACAAATGGTTTAGTAAATTGGATTATATCAAGCAGATGGAAGATTAAGCAATCAGAAAAAATACTATGTATCAATATGGAAAAAGACATATGACATAATGTTAATGTTAAAAATAGAACCCCTGTGTTGTGATCAAATACAGCTTGGTGTGGCTTTGACAACGTTGTTCTTTTCTGATTCCTTTGCTTTCTCTTCCCTTAATTGTTGGAGTTCAAAGTTTGTTTTTGGTCCTCATCCTTTTTACCTACCCTCTAGCTTCAAGTACCATCTACTTTATTTCTAGTTTACTTAGCATGTTGTCCAAACCACCGTCTTGGGCACAGGACTCTGTTTTGAGCTTTTCATCCACCCAGATTTTTACTGGGTATACACCTCTGTCAGTAGCTGGAATACCATTCTGAGAATAGTGATTTGTTCATCAGGCTCCCCAGTATAACGGCAGAATGGTTACAGAATAAGATACCTAGAACATACTAGTAAGGACTCAATAAATGTGTTAGTAGTGTAAGATAATGATAAATTGGGTGTGTGCTGTGTGCCCCGTACCTTTAAGAACCTTACAGATACCACGTCATTTAATTTTCACAGAGGCCCTCTGAGAGGTATGAAGTAGACAAATCTTCATTATACGGATGAATAAATGAGGAAACAAGTTGATAATAAAGTCACCAACAAGAGCGCAGACGTTAAATTAAGTGTTAAAGTGTTGGGACTGTAGGCGGCTTTTCTCTTTCATAAATTTAATACTGTTGATAGGCTGTGTACATGCGTCTCGTGTATGTGTACGCACGCATGTCAGTGTCTGACCAAATAGTTTTAAAACGAGTGAGCAAGCAGCAACAGAAAATCGTTGGGTAGGGTCTGGGAAAAGGGGAGGAACCCCAAAGTACAGAGAAGCAGAGACCCGACCCCACCTGTGAACTGTCTGCGCAGGCGGCGACCGCAGGCAGGCAGAGCAGCTACGCACCCCACCCACGGAAACGATTCCCTTCGGGGAGGCCACCCGGCTGCCACACGCTGACGCTCAGGAGGCTGTGGGCGGAGCCGCTCCTGAAAGGCTCCGGCAGGGGGCGGGGACTAGGGCGTCCCGCAGGATGGCTCTGATTGGCTGCTGTAGAGACTGGGCGGGCTCTCCCGGTGGCCCCCCGAGGGGTGGTGCCTGCTCCTGTGCCTCCGGGAGAGTGAAGGAGCCGGGGCTCTGAGCTCCGCTTGTGGACAAGTAGGTCTACTGCGCCCTCGGCTCTGCCGGAAGCGCCACAGTTTGACTTGCTGGTCCATCGGCCCTCGAAGGGGCAGCCCTCTCCCTCCCGACCCTCTCCGCCTCCCTTCTTCCCCTTCATTCGAAGGCCGAAGCCCGCAGCCTGGGCGGGGCGGCGCAGCCGGAGCTCCTGGACCCGGAAGAAGCGCCATCTCCCGCCTCCGCCATGGAGCCCACCGCGCCGTCCCTCACCGAGGAGGACCTGACTGAAGTGAAGAAGGACGTGAGTAGCACAACCTTGTCCAGGCGCCGTCGCGGGCTAGGGGTGGGCGGGGGCGGGCTGCAGTTCTGCGGCCGAGGGAAGCGGAAACCCAGCGTCCTAGTCCGAGTCGGAATTGGAGGAGGAGTCTGGGGTCGGAGAAGCGGAACGTCCGAGAACCGCAGGACAGCGACGAGCCCTGCATGCGAGGAAACTTGGTGGAAGTGACCTGCCCTCCGCTGACCTGTTAATCCGCTTTTTAAATTAATAGAAGCAGGGCTTGGGTTTCTGAAACCTTGTTCAGTGGAGCGTTTCTTAACAGTCAGCTTCTTGCCCACTCTTCACTCATCCCCTGGTGATTTCACCCCAGGTGCGCCTTGGAGCTGCGTTGCTAGGGATCGACGACTCAAGTTCATCCTTGAGTCAGACTGCCTTGGCTGCTGGCTCGACCTGGAGCAAAAGCTGGACCAGATAAAGCATCCCAAGCAGCGGAGCAAATACGTGAAACTTTTGCAAAAGGGGTTGGGGGAAGCTCTACAGCTGAAAGCACTACCTGGAATTCCCCTACTAAGGAAACACCCACGTATTTAAATTGAAGGGGCGGGGTGGGGGTGGGGGGAGAATACAAGAAGTGAAGAATTAATGTACAGGTGAACGTTGGAGATAGTCAGTAGCTAAATGATGCTCTTCTGCTTGGATGGTGAAGTGCACAGATCTTGGTGTTTATTCATAGAGAATGACTTTATTTAGGTCTGACCTGTTTCTCTTTTCCTTTGCTTTTAGTAACTTGTTTTGCCACATGAGACTTCTCTGAGAACCATCAAAATACTTTATATTAAAATTAAAAATAACATGAACATGAACTGTGTTCTGGCTTTACCACTGCACTACTTGCACAGAATCATCTTTGTGAACTAGACAGAACAGCGTTTTAAATGTTTGTTTGCTTTCCCCTCACCTGTAAGATTTATTATGCTGTACTCATAATTACAGTGAGTAATAACAGAATTACTGTGAGCAATTCTGATAATGAATTAGCAGAAGGAAACTGGTTATGACTGGGATGTGTGCCTTAGTTTCCTCCTTCAATAGATAGTTGTGGAGCACTTATTTTATGGAAAGTATTGTTCTTATGCCTGGGAAGATAACAACAACAACAAAAAGTCACCTCTGCTTTATATTCTAGTTAAGACTGGGATATTGATAACTACTAAAGAACAAATGAGTGTTGTGTTATTCAAGATTTGTGTGAGTAAAAACATGAACTTCAAGAGCTAGGCCTGCTGTGTTCCAGACGCTGTGTCACACAGTTGACAATGTTCCCAACAACCTCTAAGGCAGATGATTGTCTTTCCCATTTTGTAGTTGATAAGCCAGGTAGTGAGAGGTTCAAGTGAAAAGATACAAAACATGTACATAATATAAAACCTGTACAGATGTGAAGGGAGGCTTCCAGGCCTTTATTTTTTCCCATCTGTTCATTGATACTTTCCGTCTCCATGACTTCAATTTACAGCTATATCTGAAATTCATAACCTTAGGGAATCATGAACAGGTTTCAGGACATCTATGAAAAACACTTTGTGCACATTTTTTTCCTAGAAATTTTGTTCATGATATTTTCAAAATGGTTTGTGAACTTAGAAGTTTTGAAATTATCATTCACATATTTGGACTTCCTTCTTTCTCATCTCTAAGTGCTTATTTCCAAATGTCTACTGGAAATCCACTTTTATATCCTTCAGACTTCTCACTTTGTCTAAAATTGAATTTTTATCATCCCTCCCCCAAAGCCACTTGCTGTTTCTACTGTATTCTCTGTCTTGGTGATTAGTGTACAGTTCTCCTTCTGTATCTATGGGGGATTGACTGCTGATACCAAATTCATGGATACTCAAGTCCCTTTTATAAAATGGTATAATATTTGCATGTAACGTACATACATCTGCCCATATACTCTGAATCATCTTTAGATTACTTTTAATACCTAGTACAGTGTAAATGCTATGTAAACAGTTGACCCACACAGCAAATTCAAGTTTTGCTTTTTGAAACTTCTGGAAATTTTTTTTTTCCCCAAATATTTTTGATCTATTCTTGGTTGAATCTGAGGGTACAGAATCTGCAGATATAGAGGGCTTATCCACATGGCAACTCCCATTTCTTTCTTTTTTTTTTTTTACAGGCTACTACTGCTTTACTATATCGCTTCCCCCTGTGTACTTCATCTAATTGTTTCTCTCATCTTTTAATTTAGTTCAGTTTCATAAATATAGACTACACACTACTGTGAGGCTGATACTGCCATTGATTATAACAGTTTAAAAATTAAAAACAAAGATAAGATTCTAGTTTGAGAACAGCTCAACCTCTTGGGGCAGGAGGAGACATGTAAAATGATAATTGCGAATCACAAAATAACAATGAATTTTACATTCATCCAAAACATTATCTACTTGGCATTCTGCTAAGTGTAGGATATACAGAGTTGAACAAAACGTACCTGGTTCTTGCCTGCTTTTAACATGTGAGTTCTTAGGGTTGAAAACAAATGTATAATTTCAAATTATGATAAGTACTGTGAAGGAGATGAACAGGTGTTGAGACAATAACAAGATAAGAGGAGAAATTACTTGAGATAGGATGTTCAGGGAAGGTTATATTTAAACGGATTCCTGAAGGATATGACAGAACTGGGGAAGAACATTCTAGACAGAATTTGCAAAGGATCTAATGCAGGCAAGCTGTTGAGTGCCTTGAGGTGAAGTTAGAATGGTAGGCTAGGGCCAGATTATAAAGGGTCTTATAGATGCTAGTAAAGTGGGATTTTCTTCCCAAGTGTAATAGAAACCTATTGAAGAATTTCCTCTGCCTAATGTATGGACTGGGGTGAGCAAAAGTGAGAAGAGGGCAACTAGTGAGGAGATTCTTGGACTTTATAGAGGTGAGAGATGATGGTGATTTGGATCAGGGTACAGGTAGTGGAGATGGATAGAACAGGAGAATTCCAGACATTTTTTTAAATAGTAGTGATAGGACTTGGTGATGATTTGAATGTAGGTGCTGAGGAAGATAAATATCAGCAAGATTTGGTGGGTGGGTGATCGAATGTATCAGGTGGGTGGAAATGGAAAAGTCAAGGGTGGGTTGAAGGTTTATAGCTTGTTGAATAGATGGTGGTACTCCCAAGTGAGTTTACAATGTCAGAGGAAAAGGATAGGAGAAGATAAATTTGGTTTTGGACATGTTGAATTTCAAGTACCATTGGGATCTCTAGGGAGAAAGTCTCGATCACATTGCAAAATTTAGGGATCAACAACATATGGTAGAAATGAAACACATGAGGTTTTCCAAGAAGTTCATCTTTTAAATCTATTTTTCTCTCTCCTCATCCTGTCAGCTGAAATTCATGCACTCAGCATAATATATGTAAGATATGGCAGCAGTCGTCTAACTAGTCCCCTTTGACCCCAATTTTTGCTTCCCCCAGCCCTCTGTAAAACTTTTCTTATGGCTTCTTATTTATAAGCCTTTGATGAGGTTTTGGCTACAGGGAAATGTAATTTCCCCTACTACATGCCCTTCATGCCTCTCTCTCAGGTGTGGCCTCTGTAAATTTCCCAGGTCCTAGAGGCAGAGTAAGTTGCCTCTTCTATGCTTCCCCACTACTTGACCTATATCTTTTTTTTTCTGGGTCATATTCCATTATCTCACAATTACTAACTTCAGTTAATAATGTATTCTTCAATTGGACTATATGCCCTTTGCATGCAGAATTTAAGTCTTGTTCATCTTTGCAATATCCACTGTCAGCAGTTGGCATATTAGGCATTTAGATACGTGAAATGTGTCTTGTGTGAATAAATAAATGAGGGAATTTAGTGGACTGAGAACTCTAGGAACCCCTTCACCTAAGCTACTTTTCTGCCACCATATACTGGAATATTTTGAAGATTTTCCATTGCCTTTAGTTCATCTTTGTCAGTGTGAATCAAATTAGTCATCACTGGCATCATCACTAACATTTCCTTATCACTTATATGTACCAAGCACTTTTCCAAGTACTTTACATATGTTAAGTTTTACATATCTCATTACACTCAGATGAGGAAACTGAGGCCCAAAGGAGTGAATTTACCCCAGATCACATATCTAGTAAATAAAGGAGCTATGTAATACAGCTGCTCACATCAAATTATTAATGCCATTTATGGAGACCCACATCGATTTTTGGCTAATTAAGCCTCACTAGGAACTTGTCAGGTGTGTGTGTGTGTGCTAAGTTGCTTTAGTCTTCTCTGACTCTTTGAGACCCTATGGACTGTAGCCCTCCAGGCTCCTCTGTCCATGGGATTCTCCAGGCAAGAAGACTGGAGTGAGTTGCCATGCCCTCCTCCAGGAGATCTTCCCAAACCCAGGGATCAAACCCCTGTCTCTTAGGCAGGCGGGTTCTTTACTACAAGCACCACCTGGGAAGCCCTTGTCAGGTGTAGGCCTGTTTATATGATTTCTTTTTCTTTGTTTCTTTAGTTTTTTTTTTCCAACATCCACTGTTCCTTTATGTTTCTTTCCCCCCATACCTTTCTGCCTCCCAAGACTGAGTTAGATTATCATCTTGCCAGCTGACTGCAAAGACAGACACATCATGGTCCCCTTTAGTTTAGGCTCTTTCATTTTCTTTCTCCGTCTCTCTTTTGGGGTTTTACTCTAGAAAGATGCAAAATTAATAACGAGAAAGTTATAAACCATGAGACCTCTGCCTAAGTTATCGTCTCTGGTCCTGACCAATCATAGATTCCTTACTAAATGGAAACTAAAATGCCCAGTAACCACTGCTCTCATCTTTACCTCTGACGGCCCTCAGCATACCTCTCTTTATTTCCACAGACCCAAGCTCCCTAGAAGAGACTGGCCCCCTCCTCACAGTAGTTTGATCTTGGCTTATAGTTGTGAAAAAGATCAGAGCAGGACGGAAGCAATGAGGAATATCTAGTCAGAGACCTACTTCTATCTCCTTGCTCCTTCATCTTTTTTTTAAATGTATATAATTTTTTATGTATTTATTTTTGTGCTGGGTCTTCATTATTGCACAGGCTTTTCTCATGTTGCCCCAAGTGGGGGCTACTCTCTGGGTACTCTGTGGGTGCACAGACTTCTCATTGTGGTGGCTTCTCTTGTTGGGGAGCACAGGCTCTGGAGCACGTGGACTTCAGTAGTTGCAGCACATGGGCTCAGTAGTTGTGACTCCCAGGCTCTGGAGCACAGGCTCAAGGGTTGTGATGCACGGACTTAGTTGCTCCACAGCTTGTGGAATCTTCCTGGACCAGGGATCGAACCTGTGTCTTCTGCATTAGCAGGCAGATTCTTTACCACTGAGCCACCAGGGAAACCCTGCTCACTCATCTTAATAGCATGCCTTAAGTAGGGCTGAGGTTCCTGATTTCAGGATGTTTTCTCTTACCAGTCAGAGTCCTAACTTATCATCAGTCACCTGTGTTACATTAAGCCATATTTTATTTCTTTCAGGCTTTAGAAAATTTGCGTGTATACCTGTGTGAAAAAATCATAGCTGAGAGACATTTTGATCATCTACGAGCAAAAAAAATACTCAGTAGAGAAGACACTGAAGAAATTTCTTGCCGAACGTCAAGTAGAAAAAGGGCTGGAAAACTGTTAGACTACTTACAAGAAAACCCCAAAGGACTGGATACCCTAGTCGAATCTATTCGACGAGAAAAAACACAGAACTTCCTAATACAGAAGATTACAGATGAAGTGCTGAAACTTAGGAATATAAAACTAGAGCATCTCAAAGGTAAGATACCTTAGGTATCCAAGAGTTATTTAAATGTAACAATGCTTTTGTAAAATAGAATGCAGAACAGAAAGCCCAGAAATGACCATTTTTGCTTTTATTTAAAAAGTTCAAGCTTCAGCATTACATTTGATTTGCATTTTTTTACCTTATTTGATTTCATTACATTGCAAAAGTGAAGTATCACTCAGTGTTCTGTATTTCTGTTCATTAACACTACATTTCCGGAGAAGGCAATGGCACCCCACTCCAGTACTCTTGCGTGGGAAATCCCATGGACAGAGGAGCCTGGTAGGCTATAGTCCATGGGGTTGCTAAGAGTCAGACACGACTGAGCGACTTCACTTTCACTTTTCACTTTCATGCATTGGAGAAGGAAATGGCAACCCACTCCAGTATTCTTGCCTGGGGAATTCCAGGGACGGGAGCCTGGTGGGCTGCCGTCTATGGGGTCGCACAGAATCAGACACGAGTGAAATGACTTAGCAGCAGCAGCGACACTACATTTCAGAGAATGCAATGGCAACCCACTCCAGTGTTCTTGCCCGGAGAATCCCAGGGATGGGGGAGCCTGATGGGCTCCCATCTATGGGGTCGCACAGAGTTGGACACGACTCAAGAGACTTAGCAGCAGCAACATTATATTTATAGAAAACAGCCATAATGAAATCGCAGTATTTCATAGAAACACAGGAGTTTGTTTCTAAAGTTAGTAGAATGCAAGATTGATCTGTTAAAAAGTAACCCCTGAAAATGCAGATCACAAATAACAGTATATAGGTAAAGTACTTTACCTTTGATAAATTCTGGTGGTTTTTCTTCTACCAGTTGATCACACAATAAAATAGTTGGCCTATGTTTATAAGAATCATGTTGTATAAATCATACGTGACTTTTAAACACTAGAATCACACTCAGTCTGGTGAGATGAAGAGGCATGAAATGTATTGATTAAGGGAGGAGCAAATTTACCCCTTCTGTTTCACCCTCACCATGGAGCACACACTCACTGATTGGAATGCTATATAGAATTGTCTGCACAATTTAAATTCCCCTCTCCCCCCAGCCCCCCATTTTTTTCCCTGTCTGTCTCTACATAGCACTTAAGATAAATGTGAATGTGATAACAGCTCTATTCCAGCTCTTTTAAGCACTCGGGAAACAGAAATGAGTAATTTAGGACTTTACCTTACAGAACTCAGTCTATAAGTCTAAGGCTGGAACACATGTGAAGTTTCCCCTTGAAACATATTTAAGAAAATAGTTTCTTGTCCATGGGACAGAAATGCTGACTGTATTGTGAAGTTGAAAAACAAGTGGAAAAAAAATGACATACAGATGTGTTTTACAGACTTTGCAGGTGTTATACAAAATCTGTCAGCTCAGGAACTTCTCTGTGCCTATACACAGTTGGGTTGAATATTTGCTAAGCCTAACAGAAAGATAAATGCATTTGTATTTATTTCCACCATGAGGCTCATTGTTGACTATATCCTTTGGATATGACAGAATTTTTTGTTCAGAACAACCACTGCTCTTTAAGTAAAATGGTAGGTTAAGAATCAGAACATTTTTTGTGTAGTGTGAAGAGGAGACTTGGGTTCCAGGTGTCACCTTAGCATGAAGTAATCCTGGAATATTGGGCATGACTTCAGTGTTCTGGGCCTCAGTCTTCTCATAGTGTCTCTCACAGTGAGAGGCTATCCCAGATGCCCTTCAGAATCCCTTCCACTTCTAATTCTCCATGATTCAGAAATTGAAAGTACTTAACATAGAATTTTAGGATGTATCCAGTTTTAATTTTGTTTTCATTGGGTAATGTTTTGTGTGTGTGTGTATACTAGAATGCTTAAAAATATTTTTTAGTTGTAAAAGCTATTTCTTATTCTATGAATAATTTTAGGAGCTACTTTTTCAGGTCCTTCAATGGTTAAGTATAAGTACAGAAATTAAATGTGAATTTTAGCATGTCATTTATCTTCCTTGAGATTATTCACTTATCTCAAAAAAGTAAATAGCAATATACTTCATGATTGTCAGGAGCAGATAAAATGTGAAATGGATTATGACAGTTTATAAACTGCTGTTTAAATTTGTATAATCTTTAAAAAGTTCCAAGATGGGTGTGGATTCACATTTCCTAGTTACTTCTTATTTATATCTGAATAATTGTATTGTAGGACTGAAATGTAGCAGCTGTGAGCCTTTTCCTGATGGAGCCACAAATAACCTCTCTAGATCAAATTCGGATGAGAGTAATTTCTCTGAGAAACTGAGAGCATCCACCATCATGTATCACCCAGAAGGAGAATCCAGCACAGCCCCCTTTTTTTCTACCGATTCTTCTCTGAATTTGCCTGTTCTAGAAGTAGGCAGAACTGAAAATCCCACCTTCTCTTCAACTACACTTCCAAGACCTGGGGACCCTGGCGCTCCTCCTTTGCCTCCAGAGCTGCAGTTAGAAGAAGAAGGAAACTCTAGTGAGATGTTTCTTCCCTTACGATCACGTGCTGTTTTGCGGCAATGACAGTTTACTGCCTTTTAATTTTTTTTAATGATGACAAAAAATATTGGAAAGGATATGAATCATAAAATTGCTACCATGACTTAGTAATATTGATACATGTTTTATAAAATGCAACATAAACATACTTTGTAAATAGAATTTTCTAGAATAAAAGCGTATTTTTAGAGAGTTAAAGTAAGTGTTGATCATATTCAGTGTTGATCATGTACTTTTCAGTATTTTCAAATTTCAAAAGTTTTGAGATTTAGTGTTTTCACTCTCATCATGTGTTAAGACTAACTTTAATATGCAACATTTCTCTATTTGAGAATACAATGTTAGACTGTGAATAATGTTTCTTCCTTGTGAGTTTGTGCTAATAAGTTTCACAGTCTAATAGTCCTTTCCAACAATTCACCAGTAAATTTTCAGAATTAAGCTGTTCCCATTCGATAATAAAACCTATCACTACTGGGAAAACTGCCAGTAGACAGAAAAAAAGTCTTTTCCCCACTTGGCTTCCAAACACTTACAAAGTCCCCTTTTGATTCAGATGGATATCTAATGGAGTTTGAGCCAGCTAAGGTATCAGTTTGCCAAAATACATGTCTTACTAATTTTACTAATAAATACTACTTCCTTAAAATTGTGACATTCTTTGTTTTATCATTTTTATTCCTAAAGAAAAATCTTTGCATAAACTTCAGTTATTACATATAATTTGATGAGATTTTTAAAAACTTTTTTCTGTATTTTTTGTTCCCTTTTAATGAGGACCACTGTACAATTGAAATAATTAGGACAAGATGGTTTTTGTGTGTGTATATTACATTCTATTTTTAATACCATTTGGAACAAGCAGATCATTGTTCTATGACAAAGTATGACTTATTTTACAAATTTATAAATCTTCTTTCATTGTTTTCATTAAATTATAATTATCCATTTTCAGATACCTGTCTCCTATATATTTCCATTACTTGCAAAAAGCAGAGATGGAAATATGCTATTGAAAATAAACATTTTTAAGTTGTAGTGCTGTGTTTTGGAAGTTTCAATTTTTTCAGTAGGAAATACCTAGAAGTATTTTTATATGTACCAATTTTTATAGGAAATATTACTTCAAGTTGTGAGATGAATTTCATTTCTGGATGGACTGATGAAATTATGAATCATGAAGAAGACTGGCATACTGGCTTTTAAATTTTTTTAAAGACTGGGTGATTTTTATAGTATAAACATTTTCCAAGGATTTTGGAGAAGCATGTTTCACCTCCAGGATAGCATAATAAGATATTGGCAGTTGGAAAAAAAAAATAGTGACATTATGTTTGAAGAAATCTTTTTAAAAAGCAGAAGCAGGCTTTTCATTTATTAAAATAAAGTTTGATATGCAGATACTTTTTTTTTTAAGTTTAAGATTTACTTGGAATCAAAGATCTTAATTTAGATATGCTGTAGCACCTATATTTATATTAATACTTTTATTTCAAACTGTTGACTATGTAGGCAATAAAATTAAGGTTTTTCAAGGGTTTTCAAGGTTAGGCTTTTGGGTTTTCTGAATCCTATGAAGTCAGTTTTTTTCCTTTAAACACTGAAAACCAGCCGTTGCCAAAAATGTGTAAATTTGAATGATAGTCTAACATGAGTGCAACTGGTTATTGGGTTGATTAATGCAGCAGTGAAAAAATTCACAGATACATTATCACTTAATATAAAAAACACCTTTGAGTTCACTTTTTTAAATTGTTTTAAAATTTGAGAATTTATTTTCTAGAGCAGTCCTAGGTTTATGCAAAACTTGAGCAGAAAGTAGAGTTCCCATACACCCGCCCCTGTCCCCTGTTTGCTATATTGTTACGTTCAGTCCCTAAGTCATGTCTGACTGTTTGAGACCCACACCAGGCTCCTCTGTCCTTCACTACCTCTTAGAGTTTCCTCACATTAATGCCCACTGAGTCAGTGATGATATCTAACCATCTCATCCTCTGCTGCCCCCTTCTCCTTTTGCCTTCAATCTTTTCCAGCATCAGGAATTTTTCCAGTGAATTGGCTCTTCACATCAGGTGGCCAAAGTACTGGAGCTTCAGCTTTAGCATCAGTCCTTCCAGTGAATATTCAGGGTTGATTTCCTTCAGCTTTGACTGGTTTGATCTCCCTGCTGTCCAAGGGACTCTTAAAAAGAGTCTTCTCCAGCACCACAATTTGAAAGCATCAGTTCTTTGGTGCTTAGCTTTCTTTATGGTCCAAGTCTCACATCTGTACTACTGGAAAAACCCCAGCTTTGACTATATGGACCTTTGTAAGCGATGTCTCTACTTTTTAATACATTCTCTAGGTTTGTCATAGCTTTCCTTTAAATATTAAAAATGTTTTAAAATATATGTACTTAACAATTGCATAAAATATTGTTTGATGAATCATGTAGTAGTACGATCAACAGTTTATACAATGATTATTGACTTGGGGAAAAAAGTAGCTAACCAAGGAGCAAATCGATCTTTAATTGTTAAATGTACTCTTAGGAGGCTTTTCTGAAAGGAGAGTTAAATATAAGCACAATTTGTGAGTAATTTTAGCGCTGCTCCTGAAGTCCTTACTCCAAAGTTGACATTCTACTTAGTTATCAGACAGTTGTCCTGTGGTGGTTTTCAAACTTTGCTGCCCATTTTAGAATCACCTAAAGAGCTTTTAAAGATTCCAGTGCCCAGCTACACCCCATTACCAATTAAATGGGAATGTCAAAATGTTTGGATTGTGAAAGACAGTCATCAGAAATGTGTCAAAATTTTCCAATGTGCAACAATGTTTGGAAACCACAGTCTTACTGGGAGCCAAATACTGGGGGTTGGTGTTTCCACATGTGTGTTACTGCTAATACCAACACTGCAAGGAAGGTTTTATTGTTACTTTGTTTTGAACAGAGAAACAATCTCTAGAATTGAAATCTAGGCCTGTTTGACTTTAACGTCAGTGTTCTTTCTATAACTCCATGCTCTTTTAAAAAATTTTTTTTTTTCTATTTTTATTTGCTATGTTTTCATTGGAATAGCTTTGCATAATTTTGTTTGTTAGTTTTTGCTGTAGTTCTCTTGTTAACATTTCTCAGATGGCAGGTAAGAGTGGACACTATTTTTTCACTCATTAATTCAGTATTTATTGGTACCTATTATTCTAGGTGCTGCACATAACAGCAATAAACAAAACAGACCACGTCTGTGTTCTCATAGAGAACTCGTATTCTAGTTGGAGGACATAGAAAATAAACAAGGAAACCCAGATAATTCTAGCTGCCACAGATACAAAATGGGGCATGTATGAGCTAAAAAGTAACTTGGACGAGAGTATAACAGCATGAGGGAACTCCTCTCAAAGCAGGCAACATTTGAGCTGAGCCTAAATCCTGAGAAGGAAGGGGACAGCTGTATGAAGTTCTAGGGACAAGTTCAGGCAAACTGGACCACAATAAACTGTGGAAAATGCTGAAAGAGATGGGAATACCAGACCACCTGACCTGCCTCTTGAGAAACCTGTATGCAGGTCAGGAAGCAACAGTTGGTGTTGGAGAAGACTCTTGAGAGTCCCTTGGACTGCAAGGAGATCCACCCAGTCCATCCTAAAGGAGATCAGTCCTGGGTGTTCATTGGAAGGATTGATGCTGAAGTTGAAACTCCAATACTTTGGCCACCTGATTCGAAGAGCTGACTCATTTGAAAAGACCCTGATGCTGGGAAAGATTGAGGGCAGGAGCAGAAGGGGATGACAGAGGATGAGATGGTTGGATGGCATCACTGACTCAATGGACATGAGTTTAGGTAAACTCTGGGAATTGGTGATGGACAGGGAAGTGTGGTGTGCTGCAGTTCATGGGGTCGCCAAGAGTTGGATATGACTGAGCAACTGAACTGGACTGAACATCGAGTGCAGAAGTCCTGAGGCAAGAATAAGCTAGTGAGGACAATACAGGCAGGAACATAAGAGGGATGACTAGGGAATTCAGGAGCCTGGATTGAAAAGTAAGATTTCACAGATAGTGAGGATCAGATATGGGAGGATTTATAAACCATTGTGAGAAGTTTGAATTTTCTTCTTTCTTTTTCAGTTCAGTTGCTCAGTCGTGTCCGACTCTTTGCGACCCCATGAATCGCAGCCTGCCAGGCCTCCCTGTCCATCACCAACTCCCGGAGTTTACCCAAACGCATGTCCATTGAGACGGTGATGCCATCCAGCCATCTCATCCTCTGTTGTCCCCTTCTCCTCCTGCCCCCAATCCCTCCCAGCATCAGGGTCTTTTCCAATCAGTCAACTCTTCGCATGAGGTGGCCAAAGTATTGGAGTTTCAGCTTCAACATCAGTCCTTTCAATGAACACCCAGGGCTGATCTTTAAGATGGACTGGGTGGATCTCCTTGCAGTCCAAGGGACTTTCAAGAGTCTTCTCCAACACCACAGTTCAAAAGCATCCATTTTTCAGTGCTCAGCTTTCCTCACAGTCCAACTCTCACATCCATACATGACCACTGGAAAAACCATAGCCTTGACCAGACAGACCTTTGTTGGCAAAGTAATGTCTCTGCTTTTTAATATGCTATCTAGATTGGTCATAACTTTACTTCCAAGGAGTGTCTTTTAATTTCATGTCTGCAATCACCATCTGCAGTGATTTTGGAGCCCCTCAAAATAAAGTCTGACACTGTTTCCACTGTTTCCCCACCTATTTGCCATGAAGTGATGGGACCAGATGCCATGATCTTAGTTTTCTGAACATTGAGCTTTAAGCCAACTTTTCCACTCTCCTCTTTCACTTTCATCAAGAGGCTTTTTAGTTCATGTTCACTTTCTGCCATAAGGGTGGTGTCATCTGCACATCTGAGGTTATTGATATTTCTCTTGACAATCTTGATTCTAGCTTGTGCTTCTTCCAGCCCAGCGTTTCTCATGATGTACTCTACATATAAGTTAAATAAGCAGGGTGACAATATATAGCCTTGACTTACTCCTTTTCCTATTTGGAACCAATAAAAGGTGTATTAGAGACTAGTATAGGCTTCCCAGGTAGCTTAGCTGATAAAGAATCCGCCTGCAATGCAGGGAACCCCAGTTCGATTCCTGGGTTGGGAAGTGAAGGAAAGTTACAGGGCTCAAAATAGCCTGGAGTTAAAACTCCCCTCCTGGCCTTCCCCACCATCCTATGCAAAATAAAGAACTCTCTCACCCGAAGGAAAAAAATGGACCTTAAGGTTGATTACACCCAGCTCCTAGCCAGTCCAGCTGCTGGCTAATCTCCAGAATCCCCTGCCCCAGCCGTTTAAGAGATAACTACTCCAAACAACCTTGGAGAAGAACAGGCCCCCCTTAAGACAGTAGATTTCCACATATATGCCTCTATATATTTACTCTTTTCTTGGGTTAGTGCTTCAGCTCACTAATCTGACTGCTGCCCCTTCTCCCCTCATTAAAGGTGATCTGTCCCTGTAAAGTGCCGGTCTCCTTCTTTTTCTGAACGTCACCGTCTCTAACTCCCTTACACTACAGGAAGATCCCCTGGAGAAGGGATAGGCTACCCACTCCAGTATCCTTGGGTTTCCCTGGTGATTTAGCTGGTAAAGAATCCGCCTGCAATGTGGGAGATTTGGGTTCGATCCCTGGGTTGGGAAGATGCCCGGAAGAAGGGCATGGCAACCCACTCAAGTATTCTTGGGCTTCCCTTGTGGCTTAGCTAGTGAAGAATCTGCCTGCAATGCAGGAGACCTGGGTTTGATCCCTGGGTTGGGAAGATCCCCTGGAGAAGGGAAAGGCTACCCACTCCAGTATTCTGGCCNCAGCTAGTAAAGAATCTGCCTGCAATGCAGGAGACCTGGGTTTGATCCCTGGGTTGGGAAGATCCCCTGGAGAAGGGAAAGGCTACCCACTCCAGTATTCTGGCCTAGAGAATTCATGGACTATACAGTCCATGGGGTCACAAAGAGTCAGACACGACTGAGCGACTTTCACTTTTCACTTTTCTGGAGGGGCTGGGGGCTATGTCCGGATGACCAATCCCCAATAAATCCTCTGAAGACTAAGGCTCTGGTGAGGCTCCCCTGATGGCCCCATGCAGGCTGTCACACACTGCTGCAGAAGTGAGCACTGTCTACACCTCCCCTGGGAGAAGACAACCAGAAGCTCTGCATGTGGAAGGCTCCCCATTCTGTCCCCTACATCTCTTCCCTTAGTTAATTTTAATCTGCATTCTTTGCCTACAATAAACCATTGTTGTTTAGTTGCTAAATCATGTCTGACATAGGCATCCTTAGGTGCGGTCTGTGAATGCATACCACTGATACCAACTTTACACTGATACCAACTTTATTGCCTTCATGTGTGTATCATTCTTTTGAGTTCCCCAAAAGTCAAAGATTTCGAGTTTCCCTGGTGTCTAAGCAGGTGGTTATGTTATTTGCTAAAAGGGAGGGACACAAATGTAGAAGCAAGTAATATGGAAAGACAATTTACTGATTAAGTGGGTGTTTGAGAGCTGGCCATAGGGAAAGTTTAAGAGCCAAGCAGAGGTGTAGTTCAGAGCTTGCCTTGCAGAGACTGGATTTGGAGAGCTGGCTGTTGAAGTCACAAGCATTAAGGAGGTTAACACTCTGGGAAGGGTTGGTCTGACTTGCAAGTCTGTAACACCTGGTTAGGAAGTGTTGCTGAACGACGGTATAGTATGTTGGGAGCCACTGAAGAAGGAATTAATAAGGCCTGGACTCCATCTCAGGCCGTCCGTGCTGGTCGTGCGCGGCCACCTCTGCAGTGGACTCTGAACTCTGTGCTTAGCGCCTATGGGAAGGACAATGGAAGGATAAGACCCCCTCTGGGCAGGGGAATCTAGAAGATCACATCCAGGTTACTCATTGCCTCAGGGGAAACACCATAATCACCCCTATCTCGGGACAGGTCATAAATTTTTTTCCGTATCTATCAGGATGTAATCACAGGCTTATCGCTTATTAACTGGTTGGAACATGACCACAGGCTTATTGATTGTTAACTGTTTGGAATGTAACTGCAGGCTTATTGATTATTAACTGTTTGAACACATAACACGTGAATGATGGGGTTATTGTAGTTGTATTTACCCTTCCTTTGTTTATGTAAGTCTCAAGGAAATTGGGGTGGTGGGTTTGGACACGTACACATGGGGTATAAAAGATTTTCACAAATGCTGATCGGGGTCCTTGGCTAAGAGGAGACTCTGCCTTGGGCCCGCCAGTGTAATAAACTGCACTCCACTATCTGCACTGTCCTTCTGAGTGAGTTTGTTTCCCGGAGAGTGTGGCTATAACACCATCAACACTTAGGGGCCATACGGAGCAAAGCCATCACCGAAGGAGGCTGACAATAAGAAGCCATAGAGTTTGGAGGATCCTTCAGAGTGGTGTGATGCAATACAAGAGAAGTTCCAACAAAGAAGGTTGTTCAGAGTGCGCTGGAATGAGGTGAAGCAGGAGAGAATTCTGCTTGACCACTTACCCACAGAGGTCTTCCATGACGACAGAGGGGACGAGTCATTTTATTTTGAAGAGATGCTGCGCAAACAGGCAAAAAATCCCGGTCTCACTGGGCAAAGGCTTTAAGGAGCAGTGAAAAGAAATTTTTTCAGCTCTTCTCTGCCTTTAACAAACTCTTACTATATCTGAAAGTTTGGTTGCGACTACCGTTTCAGGATCGGTCTCTTTTCAAGGCCTCTCAGTAATGAGCATTAGAATTCCGGGTTTAGGGACGTGCGCGGCCAACCTTCCGCCTCAGTCCCCCAACCTGGGCGCAAAAGCGCGACGCAACCGCCAGGGGGCGCAGACCTCGGGCCCATCAGCGAGACTTGGGGCGGGGTCAACTGCGGGGCGGGCACTGGAGTGACTTCCGGTTTCCGGCGGAGCCCTGGGCGCACTGGTGCAGCAGTCATGGCAGCGGAGGAGAAGGATCCTCTGAGCTATTTCGCGGCTTACGGGAGCAGCAGCTCAGGCTCCTCGGACGAGGAGGATAACAGCGAGCCGGAGGAGACAAGTCGTAAGGCCCAAGATCCAGCGAAGTCTGCCGGCGGCTATGGGAACAAGGCGGAGAAGCGGCTGCCTGGACCAGACGAGCTGTTCCGGAGCGTGACTCGCCCGGCCTTTCTTTACAATCCGCTCAACAAACAGATAGACTGGGAGAGGCACGTCGTCAAAGCTCCAGAGGAGGTGAGGTCCCCGACCCCGTTTCTCGATCTTGGTCCCAGCCTCCGCCCCCTTCCTCCTGAGCCCCATCTTGGGGACCAGCTGTCCGCCCCTCACACGCAGTCACGCCCTGCGGGATGCCGCACCACCCTCTCCCACCTCCAGCCCTGGGGAGCCCGGGCCCCTTTCCCCCAGCCTGGTGGGTGTCATACTGGACCCGCAGCCCCCGCCCCCTTGTGAGGAGACCCAAACCTCCACACTCGGTGCCCTGACCCCGCGCGGCGAGGACTAACGGTGGTGACTCCCCCGCCCCCTGCTGCAGCTTCTCCCCGAGACCCCTTCCCTTTGACGCCGAAGTGCCTGCGGTGCTGCCTCCAAGACAGTGTCTGCTGCAGCCTCCTGAAGGGGTCAGCCTTGGCGTAGTATCTGAGACTGGATTCTTCTTTGGTAACTAAAAGTTATTAGCTTTATTCGTACAGGGAACCCTTTGGCTTTTCTCTTAACAGTATTGTGATTTTGATTGAAAAATGTGTCTTTAAACCTTAAAAAAAAAAGTCAGCCTGAACAGTAAGCGAACGGCAGGGAGGTGCATGTGCCCACATCGATTATAGAAACCTCGGTTCGTCACAGTGCTTCTTAATGTGTTTGCTTAACAGCCTCCAAAGGAATTCAAAATATGGAAGTCAAACTATGTACCACCTCCGGAGACCTACTCTACAGAGAAGAAACCTCCCCCTCCAGAGCTGGATATGGCAATAAAATGGTCTAACATATATGAGGACAATGGTGATGATGCCCCACAGAATGCTAAGAAAGCTAGGCTTCTGCCAGAAGGGGAGGAGACAGTGGAATCAGGTAAGGAAAGTCAGGCTCCAGTGGTAAATTTTGATCCCTGTGACGAGTTTCAAAATAACGAGATATTTAATGAATGAAACTTAAATCTATTGAGTTAAACTGATTATGATGGTCTTTGGATATCTTTTGCTCTGTTTTTGAGAAAGGTCATAAAATATTCAAGATTTAAAGTGAAATCTTTGATATCTCAACCAGTATTATGTGTGATTTATGATGCCTATTAGAACAACATGAGTTACTTCATAAACTCTTTGTTGTGATCACAGTTGTGAAGAGGTGAAGGTTTTACTTTATATTAAAGCAGTTGTGTTTAGAGCTAAAATTAGTGTCACAAAATGAATTTCTTACAATTAATACATAATGATTAAAAATAGTAGTAAGATAATGACTTAGTTGTCTTGCCATAGTTAATAATATTGTAATTCCATCTCTTGCTTGGATTTTAAGTGTTAGGTAGTTAGAATAGGAAAAAGGAGTCATAAGTAATCACAGTAATCTCTGCTTCCATACTTTTACCCACTCCACTTTCTGGCCTCTCTTGCTTAAAACCCTTCACCAGCAGCAGAGTCAGCCCTCTATGATAGACTACCTTTTCCTCTGCCCTCATTTCACATGGCCCCCTTGTAGTACTTTATGTGCTCACTTGTGTCCGACTCTTTGCAGCCCCATGCACTGTAGCCTGCCAGGCCCCTCTGTCTATGGCATTTTCCAGGTAAAATTACTAGAGCGGGTTGCCATCTCCTAAGATCTTAAAATTCAGCACTGAATAGACCAAGCTATTTAATGGTCCCATACCTTTAATGGTTCCATATATGTTTCACCTTAGTCTGTGGTTAAATATCTGTTCCTCTGTACCCTGTGTCACATGCATGTGCATGCTCAGTCACTCCGTCATTACTTTTCGACTCTTTTTCGTGTCCAACTCTTTGTAACCTCATGGACTGTAGCCTGCCAGGCTCCTCTGTCCATGGGATTTCTCAGGCAGGAATCCTGGAGTGAGTTGCCATTCCCTTCTCCAGGGAATCTTCCCTGCCCAGGGAACCAACCCGAGTCTCCTGTGTCTCCTGCATTGGTAGGTGGATTCTTTACCCACTGACCCACCTGGGATTCCATGGATGGCGCTTACCACTTTTTATGTGCTGTTTGTTCTTAAGTCTGTCTCCTTTATAAAAATGAGTTTCTTAAATACCAGGATCCAGAGGTTTTTATGTTTGTATTACTATTTGTATTACATTTTAAGTATTTAATGGATTATTGGACTAAATATTTTTGACTGCCATTTTTATAGAAGAGTGTGCTAATCACACTCTTAAACAAATTTCTGATCTTCCCATAATACAAGTGCTACTTAGCTCCTTTTACAGCTGTAGAGAATTTTCTTGTGAGAGAAAGGGTAACAAACTGGTAGACAGTCTTTCTCCAGTTTTTGTTTGTTTGCGTTTTTTAAGGAATAGGATATTTATTCAGATCTAAAGTATCTTTTCACAAAATTAATACTTGTTAATTCCAAATGGAAAAAAATAGTAACTTCATTTTGGAGTTACTTCATTGTAGAGAAAGAAGCCTGGAAGACACGATTTTAATCAAGTGATGAAACGGAACATCGTAAGTAATAGGACAAATCAAAACTGAGTGTCACTCGAACACAGCATCACGTTGGTGATATTCCTGTCAAGCACAAACATATCCAAATTGAAGGATATTCCACAAAGTAATGAGCTGAGTCTTCAAAAGTATCAAGATCATGAAAGTCAAAGAAAGATTAAAGAAACATTTTTGACTAAAGGACCCTAAAGAGATGGGACAGTTAAATGCAGTATACACTCTGAAGTGTATACTCTCTTTCATTTTCCTTTTTTTTCACTATAAAGGATATTACTCTCCAGTTTTGATTCTACCTGACTTTTCCATTTCTTTCGTGACTTCTGGTGTGAATTAGAAATCACTAGTGAAGGCATATTTTCAGTAAATGGCATCTTTTTGGAGATGCCAAATGAAGTGGAAATTTTAAATGCCTCATATTTTATAAGTTTTATAAAGTTAATAAAAAGCACTTTTGCATAAATTACCTTTAATCCTTACAACTCCTTGTGAAACCATTAGGGAAATGTCATAACGAGAGCTTATGTGACTTGTCCAAGGTCACAAAACTAGACAATGCCAAGCTCTAAAATAATACTTTTACATAAGTTTTCTAGTTTATTACTCTTGGCAACCTAGTACAGAGTTAGCACGTTTGTTATTACTGTTTGTAGACAAGAAGACAGTTGCACCTTAAAGAATTTGCCTAGCTTCACACAAGTAGGAAGAGACAGAATAGGAATCAGATTTTTAAATGGAAATGATGCCTTATTAAACTGGGGTTTAGTCTCTTGATGTTTTCCAAGCCAGGGTGCTTGAGGAGTAGCTGTCCTGTGGGAAGAATTGGCAGTGAGGCCATTAGAGTTGATGTTCAATCCAGGTGTCAATAGACTGGTGCTCTTCTATCTTTGTTCCTGTGTGGAAAAGCCTAGGCTTATATACCATTACTAACAAGTAGAAAGAATAATCTTTTTTTCCAGCTTGCCTTTTAAATTCAGATAGAAGAAAATATGTGTCAGATAATGCTGCTAGTCCCATGATAATTTCTGACCTTTTGATCATACGATGGCCCTCTACTAGGAAGTGGATGTTGACAGTGTCAAAAAACAAAAGGCTTCCAGTGCTCAGCCAGCTTACAGCTGGATTATGAGATTGAAAGATAATACTGAAATCTCAGTTCTGACTTTAATGTTGGTTGTTGAGTATAACTGTCCTTTTTTTGTAATAAATACCTTCCTTCTTAGAAGTGATTTTTGCCATGTCAGCCTCCTGTACCATGTTAACAAGTCTACTTCCCATCATTTTTTTTTAGCTTTTTTTGAAATTCATAAAATATCTTGTATTAGAAGTTCCACACTCTTAAATTATCTCATTTGCTAGATTATCAGATAGCTTTGATTTTACTTTTCTTCTCATTTTCTGCCCTTTGGCCTCTTTTTCCAGTTATCTCCTTCTAAATAGAAGAAGCTGGGAAAAATTCAGAACTCATTACAGAGCCTTACTACTTACCAGCACTTGCTTAAAGAATATATAAAGTTAGTTTCTGTTAATAATTTAAACTTGTTTGCTTCAAGTGACGTGACTTCCATGTAAAACAACTGCTTCCTTACTAGTGCTATCTGTAGTATATAGCACAAGGTAAGAAACTCAGTGAAGTTGATGAGACACTAAGTTTTTTTCTTCTTTTTTTACTAAGGCAGTGCCTTGTTAGATCACTAGATGGCATTGTCTGTTCAGCGACTGGGGGGAAGTTATTTTTCTAGCCTCAGTTTGTTTTCCTTGTTATTCAGTAAGTGCACTTGTAGTAAGTGACAGACTAAAAGCAGAACTGTCTCAGGATCGCCTTTTTAGTATATGTTAGCAGTGCATTTTCTAGTAGAGTTTTAACAGTAATTTCAATTTTTATATTACAAATGAAAAGAATCTCAAAAGTCAGTCATGGTGATAATGAAAATCCAATGGTGATAATGAAAATCCAATTAAAAAACAAAGACCTTGGCTGGTTTTGAAGATGCATTACCTGCTTTGATACTAATTATTGTCCATATCAACAAAGGAAATATTCTGAATATGGTAGTTATCAGAAGGGAATTGAAGGCTTAGGGTTTGTTTTTTGTGTTTTTTAATTTATTTATGTTTGGCTGAGTTGGTCTTAGTTGCCTCATGCAGAATCTTTTATTGTGGCACTCGGACTCTAGTTGTGGCGCGTGGGCCCAGTAGTTGCCATGCGAGGGCTTAGCTGCTCAAAGGCAGGTGGGATCTTAGTTTCCTGATCCACATCCCTGTACTGCAAGGCAGATTCTTAACCACTGGACCACCAGGAAAAGTCCCGGCTTAAAGTCGTAAGTTTATTTTTCCCATAATGAATTTGTGATCCGAAAAACAAATGAACAAACAAAACAGAAGCAGACTCCTTGATAAAGAGAACAAACTGGTAGTTGCCAGAGGGAAGGAGTTAAGGGGACAGGTGAAATATGTGAGTGGGATTAAGAGGTACAGGCTTCCAGCTATAAAGTAAAGCACAGCGGTGTAATGTACAGCATAGGGAATATAGTCAATAATATTGTCATAACTCTGTACAGTGACAGGTGATTAAACTAGACTTATTGTGGTGATCACTTCATAATATATAAAAATATCAAATCACTATGTTGTACACCTGAAACTAATGTTAGTGTCGATTATAATCCAATTTAAAAAAAAGAGTAGTGACAGAACTCCTCAGTCGCTATCAGAAGAATATCAAAAAATAACATGTAAAAATGACTGAAGTCATTTTGTAAATGTGAAGTGTTGAGTAATAACAATGACATTGGCATTGTTCTCTTGACTGTTAATAATAAAAGGGAAGTTGAAAAAAAAAGTCTGTGTTCTATATCAGTTGGCTTCCCAGATTTTTTAATATCAAGTCCCCTTTCAGCATCAAAACATTTTTTATAGGCTACCACATGGGTAGTTATTGAACTTCAAGTATCTCTTGATTGAGAAGTAAAGTACAAAGAATTCAGTGATGTGCTTAAAATAAATTTGTACTTTATAAATCATAACATCTCCTACGTGTAATTTATTCCATCTGTGTGGAGTTCTTAAAATAATGCCATACGTTTGTTCAGGGATGGGAATTAACAGCTGCTCTGTGCTACCCTGTATTTTGTTGAAATGTGTAGCTGGATTGTTTTAATTGAATAAAAGGGCCCACTGTTCGAGATTTTACAATATTTTTATTTATTAGTTAGAAATTTTCTGTGACTACAGATACTAATAACATTCGAAAAGTGTAAAGGACATGGTTTTAATATGAGGTTCTTCTCCCCTCCCCTCTCCCAATTCTCCATAATATGAAGGGGGGGAAGAAGCCTGTTTTTGTCTTGCCATTGGAATATTCTGACCCTCCTGGGAATGGGGGAGAAAGTAGAACTACCTACATAGGACAAAATTGAAAATACAGTTTCAGTGAAACATCTACCTGTGAGTGCTTTTTTAACTTCAAAAAGTAAGTGTGGGGGTGGGGATGGGGAGATGAAATAGGGAGGGGAGTTGTTTGTGGGGGAGAGAAGGCAGATTAGAAGGGAAAAACTACCAGATAGTCACTTAAATAATGTCATGGTTAAATTGACATCTTCTTTTGTAAAAAAGAACAGAAAATATCCCATTCTTAACATGTAGATTATGTATTTAAATAGTCACCATGTATATACTGTAGAATATTTGAGAATAGCTTTATCAGAACAAATTTGATTTTCTTATTGTCAGCTGCCTTTAAGTTTTTTTATTGGAAAACTGAAAGAAACATTAGTTGAGGATGATGATTTTTGGTATAGAGTCAATGAAATTTTAATGCTTAATATTTTTTTAAAGTTACTGATTGAAACTCTCCCTTTCCTATTTAAAGATGATGAAAAAGATGAGCATACTTCTAAAAAGCGCAAAATAGAAGTGGGAGAACCAACAAAGAAGAAAAAATAGACAAGAATGACAAGAATCTTTGGACTGCAAAACTTGTTGAAATGGGTCTTTTTGGCAAATTAAGTTGATACTCTAAATTATTATGAAACATCTCCGTGGAAATATATGTTAATTAACTAATGAGTATTCCTGCTGGAACTTTCCACTGTAGAATTCATTTTTTATTTAAAAATATGTATTTAAAACTGAAATGGTGACTTGTGATTGTGTAATTGACAATGCTTGGAAGCATTCTTGCTACCGCAGAATTGGTGACATGCTTTGAGTTTCATCCCAAGTTGACATGCCAATGTTCTATGAACCTTTTATAAAGGAGTATATTTTTAAAGTAAATATATTGTAATGTACTGTGAACTTGTAGGGTGCTTTTCAACAGTGTTTGTACAGTGTAAATAGATCATGGAAATAAATTTACTGCATAGTATTAACATTTGAATATCTGTGACAAGTACCCTTCTTGCCATGTGACCTTCTGATAGTGGATATTTCCATTTTGGAAGTGCCTCCCATGTTCTAGGTGCTTTGTGCATGTATTATCTCTGATCTGCAGCCTAATAAAGCAGGTATTAGTAGCCTCATTTTATAATAGAAATTAATTTATCCAAGGTTACATAGCTAGTGAACAGTGGATTTGGGATTTAACTCAGGACACTTGAACTCTGAAAATCACACTAAACCACATATCTGGCAATCTGCATTTAGTCATCTTTTAGGAACTGCAGTTGCCATATTTTCCAGGTACTCTTCTGTGGTAATCAGGGGAGATCTCCTCTCCTGATTATATTACTGCACTTATCACATACATCTTATGATCTTTTGTTAATTTGCCTCTTAAATAGTAAGCTTGCCAGAGATAAGGATCTTCTACAAGTTGCTAGATGTAGCAAATAAAATTATAGGATAACCAGTTGAATTTGAATTTTAAATAAACAACAAATGATGTTCTAGTATATGCGATATTTGGGACATAATTATACTAAAAATTTGTTTATCTGAAATTCAAATATAACAGCATCTTCTATTTTATCTGGTAACCCTACTTCTATGTGTTTTCTTTATGCAGCTCCTATTTTAATGCTTTGCATATGATAATAAAATCAACAAGGGGTATTTAGGGAGATGATAATCTTAGATTTGATTTACACAGTCCAAAATACAGTGCAGTTGTTTATAACGTTTTGAAACATGAAAAGTTGTGTACTCCATCAGTCTTTCCATGATTCTTACGCCTTTAAGAGATAGGAGTTATAGGACTTTAAGAGTTTTTTAAAATCCCCAATCTGAATATTTTCCCCCATACTGAAAACCCAACATTCAAAAAACCATAAAATTTGTTGAGAGCATAGATCAAGTAGATTAAAGTTTGTAAAAGTTGTTAAAAGGATGCTGGTCATTGTGTTTTGTGAATTGAGGAAGGGACATGGGTGTGATAGCTTCCAGAGTATCTTAAAAATCTAATTCTATGGCTGCTTATTCTCCTGGTTTATAACTATCTGAATTCCAAAGTTGAAGTAATTGATACAGCATGAAACCTTTTGCTTAAAGTTGAAGTCTTTCTGCGTGAATAATTAGGAGGGGCAATGGTAACATATACCAGAGAGTGGCATCAACTGGTAAAACATGAGTCCCATATGACAAATGGGAATTACAAGGTTGTGATTCCCAAGTCTGGAAAAATCTATAGTCAGAATTCATGTATTAATGGAACAGATATCTCAGAAAGTATTGAAATAAAACAATTAAAAAACATGAACACAAACTACAGAAAAATGCCCACCAAGCCAGTGTCTGAAAATCTTTTTTTTTTCCTGAAAATCTTTTTAACCTCTTTTTATCGTTTATTGTTTCAACTCCTAACTTCCTTCAGTCAGTTTTTGATGGAGAACAAAGGATCACTAGATCAGTCCCTAGTGGTTCTTTGAGCTTCCTTTCCAGAAGGTAGCAGAATGGGGGAGGTGAGAAACACAACTTTTTCTTGGAGGAGGTGAGTGTTCTAATATTTTATCTACAGGACAAGTAGTTACCACACTTGTGAGATTATTAAGCAACTAATGGCAGATGTGCACCTATGTGAAAGTGAAAAACATGAAAGTGTTAGTTGCTCTGTCGAGTCCGACCGTTTGGGACCCCGTGGACTGGAGCCTACCAGGCTCCTCTGTCCATGGGATTCTCCAGGCAAGAATACTGGGGCAGGTAGCCATTCCCTTCTCCAGGGCATCTTCCCGACCCAGCCTGCGGTGCAGGCTGATTCTTTACCATTTGAGCCACGAGGGTGCACCTATGTGAGTACAGGTCAAACCAGTTTTTGTTTTTTTAATAAAAAGGTTTTTTTAGTATTTTTTTAATTGGAGGATAATTGCTTTGCAACATTGTGTTGGTTTCTGCCCTACATGAATCAGCTGTGTGCAACATGAATCAGCTCTAAGTATGCATATATCGCCTCCCTCCCACCACCCCCCATCTCACCCTCTAGGGCATCATAGAGCACCAGGCTGAGCTCCTTGTGTTATTCAGCAGCTTCCCATTAGCTATTTTACACATGGTAATGTATATATTATGGAGATTTCTTTTTTAAAAAAGCTAGGAATTAAACTACCATATGACCTAGCAATCCCACTACTGGGCATATATCCTGAGAAAACCATAATTCAAAATGACACATGAACCTCAGTGTTCATCACAGCACTATTTATAATAGCCAGGACATGGAAGCAACCTAGATGTTCTTACAGATGAATGGATAAAGAAGTAGTACGTATATATAATGGAATATCAACCATAAAGACAAACCAGTTTTAGGAATGGGGAAGAAGTTAGGAAGAAGGGGGCTAAATATTGATATTTTAGAGCAGTCTGACTCAGCAATTTATGGTATCTCAGGTTTCTTTTCAAAATACGGCCAAGTAACTGAAGGAGAAAGGAACTTGCTTATGGATTGCTTCACCTCTAGAAAAAATCCACGGTTGGAAAATTGACTTTTCACTTCCCTCTCGAAATCTAGCACCACACCAGAGAGTAGATTTTTTTTTTCCTTTTTTTTCCCCTTCAGAAATGCCCTGGGAATATGTTTAAGAGTCCATGTGGGTAATGTAACAAGAGGCTGTTTACTTCAGGTAGTGAACACCCAGTGGAGAAGGATCTAAAAATCCACGAAGATCAGGAAAATCCTTTATTCAAGTTGCTTCCATTTTAGAAATAAAGTCACTTGATGTTTCTGGATTGTTTCCTCATCTTTAAGATGAATAAGTTAAGTTATATCAGGCATGGACTTCTTTTGGGCAAAGAAGGAATTTTGAGAAAAGAACTAAGCTTTTGTGGGCCATATTTTAAAATTCAAAGTATAAATAATTTTATAGAGTTTTATGAAAAACATTCTAACTGGAATCAAAGATTACTGAGGAAAACAATCCTTTTTAGCCATTAAAATACTAACTTTTTAGCCATTGAAATGCTAACATATTTCATACTTCTAATCTTAACCCTTAATGCTATGTAGTGCTTTCGAATTCACAAAGTTCAATCATATCAGTTCAGTTCAGTTGAGTCGCTCAGTCGTGTCCGACTCTTTGCGACCCCATGAATCGCAGCACGCCAGCCTCCCTGTCCATCACCAGCTCCCGGAGTCTACCCAAACTCATGCCCATCAAGTCGGTGATGCCATCCAGCCATCTCATCCTCTGTCGTCCCCTTCTCCTCCTGCCTTCAATCCCTCCCAGCATCAGGGTCTTTTCCAATGAGTCAACTCTTCGCATAAGGTGGCCAAAGTATTGGGAGTTTCAGTTTCAGCATCAGTCCTTCCAATGAACACCCAGGACTGATCTCCAGGATGGACTGGTTGGATCTCCTTGCAGTCCAAGGGACTCTCAAGAGTCTTCTCCAACACCACACTTCAAAAGCATCAATTTTTCGGAGCTCAGCTTTCTTCACAGTCTAACTCTCACATCCATACATGACCACTGGAAAAACCATAGCCTTGACTAGACGTACCTTTCTTGGCAAAGTATTGTCTCTGCTTTTTAATATGCTGTCTAGGTTGGCCATAGCTTTCCTTCTAAGGAGTAAGCGTCTTTTAATTTCATGGCTGCAGTCACCATCTGCAGTGATTTTGGAGCCCCCAAAAATAAAGTCAGCCACTGTTTCCACTGTTTCCCCATCTATTTGCC